GTGTCTTTGTGGGAACTGCAAGAGGAGTAGCAAGGGAGTAATTTGGAGAACCTCTGGGAAAGTACCTGAGATCCAGGCAAAGTTGTAGCTGGATTGTATACTGTGCTGCAAATTGTGGCAGCTGGCCCAAACTACTTTCCCTCTCCCCCTTCAGGTAGCTTAGACTAGGCTAAATGTCCAAACTTGATGATAGATTAAATTCTGATGTGGACTTGATTTGTGTTTGTAGTTTGTATGTGGTTTTTGTTTTTTTGGGTTTTTTGAGAAAGAAAATCCCTGGATTTCAAAGAGAGGTAGCAGGTTTCTTAAAAGAGGGGGTGTGTATACAATTGCAGATAAGTGGATAAAAATTCACCTTGCAGAACAGTAAATACCTATTTTAAAGTACCTCTGTATATTTTAGTTTGACTTTCTTCCCCTGCCCTTTCTAACTGAGCAGAGGGGATGCTTGCTAGATCCTGAACAAGCATGTGTTGGTGGTGCTCTCTCTTCAGGTACTTGGTGAACTTGGGCTGTATCAAGCCTCTTTGTGACCTGCTGACTGTCATGGACTCCAAGATCGTTCAGGTGGCGTTGAACGGCCTGGAGAACATCCTGAGGCTGGGAGAGCAGGAGGCCAACCAGAGCGGGACCGGCATCAACCCGTACTGCAGCCTGATTGAGGAGGCCTATGGTAGGTTGCGCTGCTCTCAACACCGTAGCACGTGCTGAAGGGTGTCCGCTGGCTTGGTTGGTAGCTTTTCTGCTGTGTTAAGGGATGTGCTATATTCCAAACTAGCCAACGGTGGTTTTCTGTAGTCTGCTTTTTAGACTCTTATGATTGGGCATAGGACAAGCTGCTTGGAAGTAAAAACTATCATACTTCTGGTCCCAGCTTCCTAGACCTGGAGGCCAAGCTGGTAACTGGCTCGCACCGGTATTAATCAGAAATAAGCTGAGTATTAATCAGAAATAAGCTGAGCTAAGTAAAAAGTGACACTTCTGGGTCTAAGATTGCTCTCACCGTACCCAGTTGCACACTGTGTGGTGGAAATCCAGAGAGACTTAGCTTTTGCCTGGAGCGACTTAATTTGGTGGGTTTTTTTGTCCTGCTCCTCATGCTTTGAGGAGCAGTTCCTATTCTGGTCTGAAACTCCCTGTATGCTACCAGTGTCTGCTCTGCCCTCTCACTGACTTATATGGTGTGTCCTGATTCTCCCAGTACGAATAGTTCTTGAAATTCTTCAGAGTGTGTTCTGCTTGGATGCTTGCTGTTCAGCAGTGGGTTTAATTAGGACGGTTAAAGCTGTTGCTGCCCTTCTGCTGGAGGCTGCTGGGATGGGCCCTGCTTCCTCCCCCTCCCTACCCCTGCAGCTACCAAGCCATGGCCATTTGTTTTAATGTCACTGAAATCTGGCGTAGTCTCCAGCAGAGAGCGGGGAGCACATCTGCTCTAGCTGGGTCAGCTAAACCTGCTGTGGAAGAGATGCTAATGCTGCCTGGTACAGATGAAATCCGCCAGCAGCTCTGGAATAGTTCAGCTTTCGATGTTAGTGCTGCTCACAAAATGTGAATCTTAACACAGATGATTGCAGCGAATAGGGGCGAGGCTGGCGGATGGATGTGGGACAGTGTAAATATCGGGATCTCCTTGTTTCATTGCCTTCCATGTTTGGTTTTTTTTTCCCTTCCAAGGTCTGGATAAGATAGAGTTCCTACAGAGCCACGAGAACCAAGAGATCTACCAGAAGGCCTTTGACCTGATTGAGCACTACTTTGGAGTAGAGGACGACTCGGCTCTGGCTCCCCAGGTAGATGAGAACCAGCAGCAATTCATCTTCCAGCAACCCGAAGCCCCAATGGAAGGTTTCCAGCTATAATGTGCCCCGGGGGACAAGACCACCACCAACCTGCCAGAAAGCAACTGGGAGCAGCTGATGGACCCGTCCCCTCCTGGCAGGGGGAAGGCTGGACGCCCACTCCACCGGTTAGGAAACAACTCTGCCTTCAGACGATGAGAAACACTGCTTCGTCCTCGCGGAGAGCAGGGGATGCTCTTACACTTTATTCTTTTTGCTGCTGCATACGTGTCTTTAAAGCAGGCGTCTGGGTGGAGGAAGGACACTGAGGTAACAGATTGCACCTCTTGGGTTTTTTTTCTTTGTGGTGATCTCTCCCAAATGTCACTTCTTACCTCGGGTACTTAATTGAGATTTCAGCATTGGGTTGGGTAAGAACAGAAATAGAAAGTAAGCATTCTGACAACAGTAATTCTGGAAACCTGGGTTGATCTATTTAATTTTTTTGCACATGTTACTCTTTATTAAAGACTCTCATTTGCCAAGAGCAAAGGTTAGCCCTGGCCTTTCTGCGACCCTCCTTCAGCGGACAGTCCTGTTGGACCTGGGCCATGTTCCCCTGAAATACTGTACATGGACAGAGAAACGGGAAGTCCTCCTGCTCCTGGGAAGATTTTTTTTTTTTTTCTGGGGGGAAGGTTTCTTCCCTTTGTCTAGATTTTTTGTTCTGTTCTGGTTTTTGAAGAACTGCTAGTGCTATTTACAAGGAAAAAAAAAAAAAGAAACGAGACCCCAAAGATGGTAATGATGAAGAGGGCGGGATGCTTGGGGGGTGTGAAGCAGGAAGCCCAGCTGCTGCTGCACAGGCTGTGGCCGCATTTCCGCGGGCTGAAGGCACAGAACTGTTGGAATGATCAAAAACCCATCTTCAGCTTTACTTGAAATAGTTTTGGTTGGTTGTTTTTTCTTTTCTATGAGATGTTTTGAGTTCTGGGTTTCTCTCGGAGGGGTCGGGGTCCGTCGCTTTGTGGGGTGGAGGAGAGGACGTGGCTCCCCTGGGCGGCAGCGTTGTGTGCGGTGTGAACTTCAGTAGCAACAGGCCTGGGCTTTCAGGTTTACCTCCTGCTCACAGTTGCATCATGTACATTTTACTTCAAAAACAAACAAAAAAGAGTCAAATCTCTGTATTTTTTATATTATATATAGGTAGATATTTGTCTAATTGGGCTTCAGAGAAATCTATATATGAAATTTC